GATACCTACAGCTGATGACGATGTCTTATCATCTCTTGGATGAAAAACACACAAAAACATTACACCATAAGGCGTACCAGACATAGAGATCTTATATACATAGAGATGACATGCACTTAAAATCGTGGCGATTCAGTGGGTCTTTTTAAGCAACTTATTTTCAGCCAGTAGCGTGCCAATATGGCTGAGGCATTGTTAGTCTGAAGAAATTATTACGTAGCGAGCGAAGCAAGCGTAGTTTTTCGTAGATAAAGGGAAATTTCTGAGTATGAGCGGCCGGCCGGCCGTGGTTACGCTTTTGCGAGGCTTATATCTCAGCAACCACTTGACCGATTTACATTCGATGATTTTTCTAGGGTAGCTTCATTCCTTCTACCAAGCACTGGCCTATTCTCGATGCATGTGGGTGACCGCTTATGCACGTGCCACGTGCAAAACGAAGAGGTGTCAGTTTTGTAATTGTTGCAATATCTTGGTAACTACTTGGCCGATTGCGCTGAAAGTTGGTATGCAGGTAGGCACCCACTAGGCAATGCATATCCATGTGCCACAGTTGGGGTGCTGCTGCACGTGCGCACGTGCAGGGGTCGATTCCAGATCTCGAGAACGGCTGAACCGATTGTGCTGAAATTTGGTACATGGTTAGGGACCAGTTAGTAGGGTGCCGTGCACAAGTCAGTCGTGACCCATTTTGCACGTGTGCACGTGCAGGGTGCCGCTTCCAGATCTCGAGAACGGCTAGGCCGATTGCGCTCAAATTTGACACATCGCTAGGGACCGGTTAGTAGGGTGCAGTGCACAAGTTAGTTGGAGGTGTCCCTTGCAAATTCGCTTGTCCAGGGCCCACCCTCTCGCTCGCTCCGTTGGTCGCCCCAAAAGGCGTTTTACTGGTTAAAAATATTGCTGTTCGTTCCTGGCTGATTTCATTCCTGAGGTAAGCAATGAAATTTGTAGCATGATTTCATTTTGTGTTTTTATTGAATTCCTTAAAAGCTCGCCTAAAACATTCTCTCGCATTCAGGCTCTCATCAACCCGGCAGGCGGTGGGCCTCCCGGCCACCTTCCGCGCGGTGGGGGGGGGGCATTTTTTGCCCCCTCCCGTATCTCCGAAACTACTGGACGGATCTGTAACATTCAAACGATGTTCGATAGCCCTGTCAAATTTGTCGACGGAACTCCAATTTCATTGACCTCGGGGTCACCGATGACGTCACAGGTCAGGTCAAAGATAAAATGTTTCGCGTACGTTAAAAATAGGGCGTACGTTGCCTAGTACATATGTTGCTATTAGAGGTCACTGATAATACCATGTCAGGTCACAGGTCAGGTCACCAAGGGTCAGCACATGAACCAACTTTACTATTTACTAGGGTTGTGCGATGCATGTTTTATGGCCCCCCTGACATGGTCCCCCCCAAAAAGGTTACAGGTCTAAGGTCATTTGGGTCAGGTTCATGGAATTTTCAGGGTAGGTTCCTTGAGATTTGGTCAAGTTTGGTGCTTTCGGTCAACCGTCGTGAAAACGGATGTTCTGAACCTTTCGGAACACGGTGCAAGCTCAAATATACATATGTTGCATGTTCCCACTCAATGCTACATTAACCCTCGCCGGACCTATTGGTTTTCTACATACGCGCCGGCCGGGGGGGGGGGGGGTACGATTTCTCCCGCCGTTTCGCCCCTGATGAAGCTAGAGCGTCGCGGAAAAAACAAGCGTCTGCGCCGTTACAAGACGCAGGGACTGGTACCCGATTTTAAGGTCTCATGAGGTCAGGTCAAGTGACCAAGGGCCAAGGTTCAGTTTTTCATAACTTCGCAAAAAAAAAACGGTCGGAGAGCCGCGATTTTGGCATCATCGTGTTCGTCTCGCTCAGGCGCGTCGAATGGTATACTTTTTGTTCGGGTGAGGTCAACTTGAGGTGTTGACCTCGGGTCAAGGGCAGGTCAGCTCCCCCAGATCACGAAGCTGGTTGAAAGAGTTCATGTTACATATTACTCGAATCGGCAGGTCTTCCTGAGTTTACATATTGGTGGCTTTCCCGACTCGCTAACTCAATTTGATGGGGATTTATTGATGAAAAACTCTAATGACCCAAGTATATAACTGCAATGAAAACCGTAAGCCTCATGCTAATAATTATATTCAATTGATGAAATACTAGGACTTACTCCACAAGGAGATCGAATGGGTCGGAGCGCTTTCAATATGTATTATACATATCGTCGTCAGCGAATCAATAACGGGTCGAATCGAGTCGGGTATCGAAGAGGTTCGGGAGCTGCGCGGCAGAGCGATCACATACTATTCGAATTATGCATTAAAGAGAATAAAAAACACGTGAGAACAATCATGATACACTAGCTGCTAAAATGAATTAAAATGGGGTGCTAAAATGCATAAATGGCACGTATAAAAATACAATAAAAGGGGGGGGGGAAACAGGATACCTATGGTGATAAAGACTGAGTAGAAAAGACTATACAAAAATGAGTGCAAAAACTGTAAAAGGACGAGTACAAATATAAATACATACAAAGGCCGAACTAGACGTAAACACTACTGACAAAAACGGCGGATTATCGGCAGCCAGCGGTCATGCAGCAGGGCACCCGAGTTCCTGTTCACGTTTGCGTCATTCGGCGACACCAGGACGGCTTCACGCCGACCAACAGTCCGAATATAGGCCGATTCCAGGAGAAGTCGCATCTGGTGATGACTGGCTCGATTCAAGATCTTGATGGCATCGAAAGCAGGTGAGCAGTCTCTATGGGTACTGAAGGCCGATGTATTGGCTCTCGAGCGGACTTCTCCAGTCCAGCTCTCCCGGTGTTCTCGGAGTCTCGTGCCCAGCTCACGATCTGTCTCGCCGATATAGACCATTGGGTCACCGTCCACTTGGCAGGAGCACTCGATCCGATAGATGACGTTGCTCTGTTGTAGCTTAGGCAGATGGTGCTTAGCCTTGCTGCAGAGCAGCGAGCCGATGGTGACTGAAGGCTTGGAGACGAGCTGGATCCCGATCTTGCTGGCCTCCCGTTTGAGTTGGTAGAACAGGGGGCCGGCAAACGGAACAGAGACTCGGACAGGCGCCGGGTGTGAGTTCGCGCTAGGTGGCGCTGGTAGGGCCCTTGCCTTCAGTCTGAGATCGGTCCGAGTCTTCTGAATGGCCGAGTCGATGAATGATCGTGGGTAGCCATGATGATGAAACTTCTGGCGGATGAAGTCAAGCTCCTGCTGGCGGTCTCTCATGGACGAACAGTATCGGATCGCTCGAGTGCAGTCAGATCGAATGGCCGCTCTCAGGTAGCGGGTCTCGGTGTAGGGGCTGAAGGCAGGCACTTGGTTGGTGTTGCAGGACTTCCTGTAGACCTTGGTGCAGAACTTGTCGTCTCTTCTAGTGATGCAGATGTCAAGATACGGTAGCTGTCGGTTTACTTCCAAGTCAGTGGTGACATTGATGCTGGAGTCCTTGTTGTTCAGCTGGTTGACCCACGTGCTGAGGATGTCGTCACTGCCCTCGAACAAGACCAGGTAGTCGTCCGCGTATCGGCAGAAAGCATGGACCCTGCCACCACAGTTGGCCGCCAGGAGCTCCAGATCAGCCTCCCAGTGACCCATGTACAGGTCAGCGACCACCGGAGAGTAGCTTTTGCCCATGGCTAGGCCGGTAGTCTGCCTGAACCATCGCTCCTTGTCACCGTCTTGAATGACCGCATGGCAGTTCTGGATAGAGATGTTCAGCAGGTCAGCGACTGCGTCGGGCTTGAGACAAGTTACGTCGGAGAGGGCGTCTCTGTTGTCTCGCAGCTGAGTACGAATCAGTGAGATGGCTGTCTGAGTAGGTATTGACGGGAACATCGCCTCCACATCCAGGGAGACGAGACGGCAGCTGTTGACCGCATGCGTCATGTTCTGTAGCATCTCCAGGACTTGCAGTGGAGAGCTGATCGAGTGTGGAGGGCGTGGGAGGACTTTCAGACACTTCGTCAGATGCTTGGTCAACTCGTAATCTGCACCGCGGTGGGCTGGGCAGATTGGTCTCAGTTTCAAGTTGGAGATCCAGTTGAGTCTGTCGTCGTCGGTGCTGGGAGGTGATGAGTATTTGTGAGTTTTCACAAGTCCATAGAACGGACCGCTGCGGCCATGGGTCTTGGAGAGGCGGCGATAGAGTTGGTAGCCTTCTGGGTTGTTCTCCTTCAGCATGGTGTCACGTCGCCTTCCACGAACAGCAGGTCCGGCCAATGCTGTGAGCAGGTGCTCGTTAAACCTGCCAGCAAAGGCTTCCGCTGGATCACTGGTTACCTCCTCGTAGACCGGTGACTGGAGTGAACGTAGAAGGGCTGCTGTGTAGTCAGACTTGCTTATCACCACCAGAGCCTTGGCCTTGTCTGCTGGAACAATCACCTTGGAGTCATCTCTGGTAAGTGACTTCAAAGACTTACCAGAGATGATCATCACTTACTTCATCACTTATCATGATCATCACTTATCATCACTTACCAGAGATGACTCCAAGGTGATTGTTCCAGCAGACAAGGCCAAGGCTCTGGTGGTGATAAGCAAGTCTGACTACACAGCAGCCCTTCTACGTTCACTCCAGTCACCGGTCTACGAGGAGGTAACCAGTGATCCAGCGGAAGCCTTTGCTGGCAGGTTTAACGAGCACCTGCTCACAGCATTGGCCGGACCTGCTGTTCGTGGAAGGCGACGTGACACCATGCTGAAGGAGAACAACCCAGAAGGCTACCAACTCTATCGCCGCCTCTCCAAGACCCATGGCCGCAGCGGTCCGTTCTATGGACTTGTGAAAACTCACAAATACTCATCACCTCCCAGCACCGACGACGACAGACTCAACTGGATCTCCAACTTGAAACTGAGACCAATCTGCCCAGCCCACCGCGGTGCAGATTACGAGTTGACCAAGCATCTGACGAAGTGTCTGAAAGTCCTCCCACGCCCTCCACACTCGATCAGCTCTCCACTGCAAGTCCTGGAGATGCTACAGAACATGACGCATGCGGTCAACAGCTGCCGTCTCGTCTCCCTGGATGTGGAGGCGATGTTCCCGTCAATACCTACTCAGACAGCCATCTCACTGATTCGTACTCAGCTGCGAGACAACAGAGACGCCCTCTCCGACGTAACTTGTCTCAAGCCCGACGCAGTCGCTGACCTGCTGAACATCTCTATCCAGAACTGCCATGCGGTCATTCAAGACGGTGACAAGGAGCGATGGTTCAGGCAGACTACCGGCCTAGCCATGGGCAAAAGCTACTCTCCGGTGGTCGCTGACCTGTACATGGGTCACTGGGAGGCTGATCTGGAGCTCCTGGCGGCCAACTGTGGTGGCAGGGTCCATGCTTTCTGCCGATACGCGGACGACTACCTGGTCTTGTTCGAGGGCAGTGACGACATCCTCAGCACGTGGGTCAACCAGCTGAACAGCAAGGACTCCAGCATCAATGTCACCACTGACTTGGAAGTAAACCGACAGCTACCGTATCTTGACATCTGCATCACTAGAAGAGACGACAAGTTCTGCACCAAGGTCTACAGGAAGTCCTGCAACACCAACCAAGTGCCTGCCTTCAGCTCCTACACCGAGACCCGCTACCTGAGAGCGGCCATTCGATCTGACTGCACTCGAGCGATCCGATACTGTTCGTCCATGAGAGACCGCCAGCAGGAGCTTGACTTCATCCGCCAGAAGTTTCATCATCATGGCTACCCACGATCATTCATCGACTCGGCCATTCAGAAGACTCGGACCGATCTCAGACTGAAGGCAAGGGCCCTACCAGCGCCACCTAGCGCGAACTCACACCCGGCGCCTGTCCGAGTCTCTGTTCCGTTTGCCGGCCCCCTGTTCTACCAACTCAAACGGGAGGCCAGCAAGATCGGGATCCAGCTCGTCTCCAAGCCTTCAGTCACCATCGGCTCGCTGCTCTGCAGCAAGGCTAAGCACCATCTGCCTAAGCTACAACAGAGCAACGTCATCTATCGGATCGAGTGCTCCTGCCAAGTGGACGGTGACCCAATGGTCTATATCGGCGAGACAGATCGTGAGCTGGGCACGAGACTCCGAGAACACCGGGAGAGCTGGACTGGAGAAGTCCGCTCGAGAGCCAATACATCGGCCTTCAGTACCCATAGAGACTGCTCACCTGCTTTCGATGCCATCAAGATCTTGAATCGAGCCAGTCATCACCAGATGCGACTTCTCCTGGAATCGGCCTATATTCGGACTGTTGGTCGGCGTGAAGCCGTCCTGGTGTCGCCGAATGACGCAAACGTGAACAGGAACTCGGGTGCCCTGCTGCATGACCGCTGGCTGCCGATAATCCGCCGTTTTTGTCAGTAGTGTTTACGTCTAGTTCGGCCTTTGTATGTATTTATATTTGTACTCGTCCTTTTACAGTTTTTGCACTCATTTTTGTATAGTCTTTTCTACTCAGTCTTTATCACCATAGGTATCCTGTTTCCCCCCCCCCCTTTTATTGTATTTTTATACGTGCCATTTATGCATTTTAGCACCCCATTTTAATTCATTTTAGCAGCTAGTGTATCATGATTGTTCTCACGTGTTTTTTATTCTCTTTAATGCATAATTCGAATAGTATGTGATCGCTCTGCCGCGCAGCTCCCGAACCTCTTCGATACCCGACTCGATTCGACCCGTTATTGATTCGCTGACGACGATATGTATAATACATATTGAAAGCGCTCCGACCCATTCGATCTCCTTGTGGAGTAAGTCCTAGTATTTCATCAATTTAATTCCATCTCCACATCATGTCATTACGTCAATTATATTCAAAATAGGGCCAAGAAAATAAGACATGTTGGCCAAACTGACAAACTGACTTTTGTCAAACCGTCTTACGGTTTTCATTGCAGTTATATATGTAATCATGAGCCTCAAAACCGCACTTTCTTTAATCAATGACCAAGGTGACCATAAATGACGCCACGCAATGTCAACAATGCAAAAGTGAAGCATCGGACCTTGCAAGGCGTGCAAGAAATCACGATTCCATGTGGGAGACAGTTTGAGATAGTTCTCGGCGCTAACATAGCAGTTTTCATTTTTGCCCATTGACTTATACCTAATGGTGAGGTCACGTGGCCGACCTGACCTCATGTGATTTTTAGGGAAAATCCGAGATATATGTACAAGTTGTGAGACCTCTGGATGATACTACATCCTGTAAGTTTCATCTCCCTGTGAAAGTTCCTCTGGCACTGACGGCGTTGCGAAGTTGCGACATCTGAGGACTGTGCAGAGGTTCATTTATGACGTCACAGGTCAGTGACCTGACCTGACCTGAAAATGCGGTTGGTGTCACAAGATGCGGCTTGGATCAAAGGTCAGGTATGCCAAGTTTCAGCTCTCTATCGCCTGCGTGTTCGGAGCTATCGTGAAAAACCCTATAGGGAGGCGGCACCCGCCGCCCCCCGTCGGACGGCGAGGGTTAATGATACATGCAGTACCTGATACGAGCATAAGGTTAAAACATGCCTAATTTCATTTCAATAATAACGCTCGAAAGCGTCACAGCTAGACAAAAAAAGGAAAACTGTACTTAAAAATAAGCGGATGTGAACACAATCTCCTTGACCGAATCCTTACAAAATGCAAGTCACGGGCCATGGCACCCCAGAAAACCTTGCTTAAAAAGACCCACTGAATCGCCACGAAATCAAGTGCTTTAACATATGCGTGTCATCTCTATGTATATAAGATCTCTATGGTACCAGAGACATACCTGAATGAAAAGATACCATGCATGAAAGAACCAAATGGGACAGCGAGACGACGGTAATTAGATGGAAATGCTAAGGGGCCCATAAATTGCGGACCGATTTCTTTCCACATACGCCGCTTAAGCAGTCGTTTGAACTTTGTCATTTGATACTGTCTCAATATTCACCAACTTTCGTCATCCTTTACAAACGTTGACCCGACTTCGCAAGAGCATCTGGAGGATGAGCCACAAAAAAACGAGTCATGAACAACACCGAGTGTGTCATTTATGCACACGGGGTAAATAGCCACGTGCGTGACTGTAAATATCAATGTATGTGGCTGCTGGCATTTTCCCATACCTGCTACATTGCATGATTAAATCGAGACATCCAGGCATTTAAACGGCACGTGCACTGTACCACACTTTTCAAAGTTTAATGCAATGCTTTGATATTACCAGCCGTGTGGTTCAAGGGGTGTGGTTAAACACGTTGAACCACACGGCTGCTGACGTCACTATCATGTAGTTGTGAGCTTTTTGGCAGGTATGGGAGACAGCTTCCAGCCCTAAGGCCGGGAATTCAATAAATGTCACCTCGCTTTTTTCAGCAAAAGCACCTCGGGCCGCATATTTACGTCTGAACAACGAGTTGCGTTGGAGAGGCCGGAAATAGTGGCGATTTCAGGACCGCAAGAATGGACCGTCATTGGAATGATTCTTTTTTAAACCGTGCACTGTTTTCGGCCGGAATCTAATAGTTACTACAAAATATTTTGTAATTACGTTTCCACCAAGAATGAATGCCATCAGGGCTAAATTTTTAATACTATTGCATTTGGTCAAGAAGCATATAGTGCTGTTATATTGCAGTTTTAGCGCGTTTGTTACAAAATATGAAGCGAATTTGCTCTTGTCCATCCACTAAAATTTATTAAATATTTTGCTTTGTGTATTCCAAAAGGAGAGGGAACTATTTCATTTGTGCCTTCATGTCAGAATTGAAGGAGGATCATTAAATTTTCAACGCAGTTTACAAACAAGCATTTGGTCTTTCTCGTTTATAAGCAGTGGCTAAGAAAAGGTTGATCAATCCTGAAGTTCAGTCATCGTACCTCAACTTGGCAGCAAGATCCCCCAAGGACAGAGGATATATTGTATACATGTCCTGTAAATCAAAACAAACAAGCATTTGGTCTTTCTCGTATATAAGCAGTGGCTAAGAAAAGGTTGATCAATCCTGAAGTTCAGTCATCATACCTCAACTTGTCAGCAAGATCCCCCAAGGACAGAGGATATATTGTAAACCTGTCCTGTTAATCAAAACTTTTTTGTGACTTCAAAGGCTTAAGTTATCTGTGGTGTGTTCGGAGTTAGGCTATATGGCCGTTTTTGTTGTATGTTTATGTGGAGATTGAATATAACTGTGACCCTGTGCTTGTTTGTATACTTACGGTCAAACAGGGAACAGCACATTCACATAACATACTCACCTAGCACCTAACTCATAGCTGTACCCTGCAGGATCTGTACTTGTTCATGTCTCGAGCATTAACAAAGCACTAAAGTAGCTTAGTAATCATTTCCCACATTTTCTGAGCATCTAACATGACATACAGCAGTGCAGAGCAGCTTCAGAGAAGAAACACTTTAAATGCACAGACTCACACCAGCCACCCAATGAGCCAGTTCCTCAGTTGACTGTTTTCCTGGACACAGCTTGGCAATGTGAGCTAACTTTTGGCAAGTTGAAGGTTAGCAGGTAAGATTGAGTTAGGGTGAGTAGTGAGTACCTACCTCTAACTGGGTGCTACTGCCATGCAGGTCTTGGCAAGGCTGCAAATATGTGTGTTGATTGACATTGAGGTTAGGTCAGCTGTCAGGTTAGTCAGGTTCAGGTATGCTCATTGCTCAGGTCACATTTTTATGGACATTTGGCAAATTAAAAAACTAACAATCTGATCTAAGCTAACCCGACTAAACATACACAACTACTGACTATAGGAACGGAGCACCTACCTACTTGTGCCTACATCTCATACCATGTCAAAGTAGAGTTCCTTGGTGGAAGAATACCCTCAGTACTTTTTATCCCAGCCCTGTGAAGAAAACTAATACTTCTAAGCTCTGAGTCACTGCTGGCCATCCACAGGAAGAAACGCTGAGACTGAGAGCTTTGCCATTGTATATTGGACCAATAATGACTATCACAAATGACTATGAACACATAATATGATCACATCATTGCATGGATTGTCACATTGACAATTTTACTACAATCCTTTTTTCAAGAAATACAGTGATGATGATTAACATCAAAATCAACATAAAGTGGATTTAGTGATCCAAGCTTTCTCCTCCAGTAGCAATGGAATGATCGCATGTTTCATTCGCCAGACACTGAGTACCTGATGCACATTACAATCTGCATAGCATCTAAGCATAGTAAAACTGCCCAAGTCCATTCATTCTAGATTTTAACTTGATAGTTAGCACTAATTTATCTTGCTGTTATAAGTTATCATTCAATATTCATACCATACATCAATACGCGCTCATCAGTCAACATTTTCTGGCATGATCCTGCTCAGCGTGCTCTTCAGCATTGCTCCAAGGTCTGCAATATTATAGCTTGTTTTTGGACAATAAGCTCTTTTAATTTTACTTTTTCTTGCTGATATATGAGCCCGATCAACTAACAATTTATCAACCAAAATTTCATAACTTGTTCAACTTGATATTGATATTGCTCAGTAATCAAGACCTCTGTCAGCCTCCTGGATACTTCAGATTGTTTTCAGTCAACATGCTTCTTAAATATGATATAAGTCAATCTTAAGGGATTTAAAACACCCAACAAAACGACGTACAAGAGCAAGAAAACCACCAGATAAACTAAAAAATGGCCTTGGAACAGAGCCAAGTGGTGCTCCATTTGTTTGTTTACAATGATTGTAGTGCTGATGTATTTTTAGGACTCTGAACGTCGGCTTATAAAAAAATGAAACGTTTTTACAAAAGTTGTAAGGCAAGTAATATTTATCTGAAAGAACTAAAATATTCAAAAGCCAAACACTATGAAATACATGAATCGGAACGAAAAAGTAACCCAAAAATCCAGCCTAATCACCGGCTCCTAAAACTGCAACACAATCAGCACTTTTCCCCGCAACTCGTTGTCCAGACGTAAATATGCCCTCGGGCCTAACGGCCCTCGGAGTTTTCGCTAAAAAAAAATCGGTGACATTTATTGAATCATCCCGGCACCGGGCAGGAA